CGCACCTTGCCATAAATGGGCAGTCCTGGACGGTAGGCACGATCAATCTCTAGACTCAGCTTCGGGGCACGATAACGAAGAATGTTTGCCTGTCCAAACTGTGTCACAGCAGAACCCGTATCCGCCTCGCTGATGGTGACGATGAAACCGACCTGTTGACCCCAGCCATACCTCCCCTGAGCATGGCTCATCAATGATGTCATGGTGACGTTCACACTTACGCATCCTCCATTCTCAGGTGTACCAGAAAGGCTACCAGCAACACGAAGACACTGGCCTCCAGTTCTCCTCTCACCTGTTCTAGACAAGCACACATTGTTCTCGGATGGGATGCCTAGGACCTGCTGCTGCCTCAGTTGCATTCCAGAACAGACGCAAATCTGTGCATCGTAATGCCCCTGGAAGGAATTTCCATTGGTGTAAGTTGCACAGACGTTGAATGTTGTTGTCTCCGCCTTTATGTCCACCTCCTTGGGAATCTGGATTGACGCTATGAAACGTGGAAGAACGTACTTCTTTACGTCCACTTTCAGTATTTGCCTACTGGTAAAAACTTTCGCAACAAGTCGCCAAACACCCTCAGATGCATCAGAGAGCAGAGGGAAGGACAAATTAAATGCCGTCGTCTGCGGGACATCCTTCCACTCCTTGACTCGATTTCCACTGGGATCTTCTATGTAGATCACGTCGAATTCTGGAGGCATTTCGTGTCTACGTCTCTCCTCCTCCGAGATTTCCACGAGCTTCGGATTACTGTATTCTCGCGTGTCAATTAGGAATTTAGGCCACTGGAGCTGTTCCGTAGTTGGCTGAAGTTGTCGGGAATTGAGGGCAATAAAACGAAAACGAATGTTCTCGCCAGGCCTGTAAATTGGCTTATCCGACTCACCCAGAATAACAATAAATTTGCGTACAAATGAGGCATATATCATCTGACTTTTCTTCTTCGGATCTTTGCAAGCTCTCGAGTGATGTGTGCGTCTACCAGCGGCACGGCTACCACCATCATCATCGTGGTGGCCTCCGGTACTCCTTATCATGTCCTCCTCCTTCTCCTCTTCTTCAACAAAGGTAGCGTCATCATTGTCATGGTGTCTGCTGTATCTTCGTCCGCGCCTGACGTCTGCCATGGGAGGGCAATACTCGTAGGTAACATTAAGGTTGATTGCGCCGCCTTCCTCAGTTATGAACGGCGGATGGAAGTCAACTTCAGCCCTATAGACACCGTCGGCGCTTCTTTTCGAGGCAAGCCGATAGGATTGGCTCATAGGAGAAATATCGCGACTGTAGACGAAGGAGTCGATTCTCAGGCTAGACAGTGGATGCACGGACCGAAGCTGGACTCGATTGGGTACATCAGGAAAGAACATCCGTGGAACCGTGAGAGTGACGGTATTATCAGCATCGTAGTCGGTGTCTTCATAGCGGCCCTGATAGATTCGTCCGCTGACCGGCAGCTTCAGCGTAGACAAGAGGCAGAATGCAACCCACCCCAACCAAGTA